AGATATATATGGAGACACTCCCCCCCTCCCTGTGAACCCCCAGTGCCCCTGTGGGGCCGAGTTGTGGGCCCATTTGGCCAAGCCGGATTCTGTGTACCCAGTGCACAGGCAAACTGGGATCCCGTGTACCAAGTACACGGCCCTGGTACAAACCAAGTAGGCACCTTTGGGCGCGCCCTCTGGGGCCAGGGGTCAGGTGAGACTGGGGAGCCTCCTCCCCTACCCCTCTCCCTCACTTCATTGCATTCCAGATGTGATTTGCTTTGTAACTCACTGCAGGGGAAGGACCCTTCTGGCCTACGGAGCCCACTCCCAGGCCCTCTCCCCAGCCCAAGCTCTGCTGGCCCTTGGGCCACCTCCCATTGGGAATTGAGAGGTGACTGATGAGAACTTGGGGGCCAGGGGAGAAGCATGCATTCCACTTTACCTCCCTGTATATATGGTACTACAGGGTGGGCAGGGGCTGCCTAGATGGAGAGCCCTTCACCTGGTGCTCCCCTGGCCTAGCCTCATGGCAGAAGAGAAGTATTTTTAGGCTATTTTTGTAATATGGCTTCTGGTCACAACCCTTTTGTAGCTGAAATATCAGTCCTTGCATTGTACAGCCCCATATCTCCTCACTGTCTAATAAAGGAATAGTTAACACTCAGCACCAGTGGTCTGTGTCTAGGTACCATGGGGAGGGAGGTGGTGGAATCTTTTCTTCTTGTCACCCCAGAGAGAAATTGAGTCTCCATCTTTGAGTAAATCCATTGGGTCCTTTGACTTAAAAGGAACCAATCAGATTCCTTCATTTGAGGACTTTTCTTGATGCTCTAATTGTTTGGTCATTGGTGGAGCTTTTAAGGTCACAGATGGATTAAGAATGATGGATGGGGAAGTGGCCTAGTGGCAAGAAGCTGCACTGCAATCCCAGAGGTTTGTGGTTCAAATCCACCAGATGCTCTGCCGGAGATGGAGGGACAATCTCCTCCTGTACCAGTCAGATCCGATTTGACGGTACACACACACAGTAATTAAAAAAAGAAATATGGGTGGTCATTTTGAGGTCTTTATCAGTGTAAATAGTAGGAAAATGGAGTTAGTTTTCAGGGGGGATGAGGAACTGGCTTCAAAGGACAGGAGAGAGAATTATGTCTTGTTAGTGTGATTATTTGTAGCCCTGGTTTGTCCACTTGCCGAACAGAGGTAACTTGTGGTCACTGTGAAGTTGAATACTGTGACACTGATGTGTCAAATGCGTTAATGGTAACCCATGGTGGACAGTGTTTGGCGGAACTTCCAGATTAAAACAAGCTTGGAAGCAGGAGTGGCATCCACTTCTGTAATAGCTTGCCTCCGGAAACCTGTGAACCTGGAGAAAGGATGAAAGTCACACAAGTGTTGAGGACTTTTGCTCAAAGGGTCGCTATGAGTCGCCTACGACTCGACAGCACTTAACAACAATAATATCAACATAGAGAGAGACCAGTTGGGCCGACAGAAAGTGATGCTACCAAGCCAAACGTGGGTAACTTTTAATCCGCGACCCTCAGGCCTTGTTTTTAATTGTTTTTGTTCAAACATTCTTCTAGGTCGTATAGCCCTGGAGTGTCCACTTGTCGTACAGAGGTAGCTTGTGGTTGCTGTGAAGCTGAACGCTGTGACACTGATGTGTCAAATGTGTTAAAGGTTACCCATGGTGGACAGTGTTTGGTGGAGCTCCCCAATTAAAACAAGCTTGGAAGCAGGAGTGGCATCCACTTCCGTAATAGCTTGCCTCTGGAAACCCTATGAACCTGGGGAAAGGATGAAAGTCACACAAGTGTTGAGGACTTTCGTTCATAGGGTCACTATGAGTTGCCTATGACTCAGCGGCTCTTAACAACAACAACAACAACAACAATGTGATTATTTATTGCCTTAACATCAACAGATGCTTGATTGTCTTCTAAGTGCTGCTTCTGCATTACTGTCCCCTGGAGACAGCCTTGTATCCATGTTGTAAGCTGTTCATTGCTGTCAAGTTGGAACTGACTCGCAGACCATCCACCAGCAGATTTTCAGAGGCTGTAAATTGCAGGGTGGAGAGGGCCCGCCTTTCTTCTGTGTAGTAGCTGGTGGATTAAACTGTCTGCCTTTACATGGCAGTACAATTCCTCTGGTTATCGTAAGGAGCCCTGGTGGTGGAGTCCTTAGTGAGTTGTGCTGCTAACCCACACACTGTGCCTCTCTGGTGGTTCGAATCCACCAATGGCTCTGCGGGAGAAGGATGAGCAGTTTCCACCTTTGTGATTTACAGCCTTGGAAACTCAATGTGGGGGGGTCAGCGATGAGTCGGTTCTGACTCGATGGCAATGAGTTAGAGGAGCTTTTAAAGTTACATATAATGGCTTTCTTTACATATTCTGGCTTTATTTTTCCTAGTGTTGTCATAACAAAAATATCACAAAGTGGGTGGCTTTAAGGAAATACATTTTCTCATAATTCTGGAGCCTGCATACTTAAATCAGGCCATCAGTCCTGTCAGTTGCTCCCGAGGGGAACTACTCCAAGCCTCTCATAGCTGCTGGGGCTGCCAGCAACCTGACATTTCTTTGCTGTTTATCGATGCATCTTCACACAGCATCTGCACCATGTCTGTTTCCCCCTTTTATAAAGCACCACTCTGAAGGGATTAGAATTAGCACCTAATTTATTTTCTGCTGGCTCCAGTATGAATCCATTTAACTTGGTGACGTTTTTCAAACAAAGATCCTATTTTCTTAAAGTTATATTCACAAATACAGGGATGAGAACGCCAACATACATATTTGGAGGACACAATTGTACCCTAAGGTCATCTTTGCATTGAGACCCTCCAAGAAAGGAGATGGGATTTAAAAAAAAATTTAAATTTTTATTTTATTATTATTTTTTGTGTATGTACCATCGAATTAGATCTGACTGTTACAGGGGGAGATTGTCCCTCCTTCTCTAGCAGAGCATCTGGTGGATTCATACTGCATACCTCTGGGATTGCAGCGCAGCTTCTTGCCACTAGGCCACCGGAGCTCCCTAAGGAGATGGGATTTAATATCCATTGATTCACCCAACACTGTTGGTTGTGACAAATCAGCTGAATTGACTTGAAAGAGCTCATAAAAATGAAAAAAGGCCAACTGTGGGGTAGATTGGATCTAGTGGCTCAAATAAGGTCAAGAAGGACAAGATTTTTCTTCTCTACAGCTTTTCTCTGAGGTTCTGTCTGTGCCGGCCAAATACCCGCAAAGGTCACAGACTTCACGTGTCTAGAAGCTTATGGCAGATTTTGTAAGGCTCTTGGGATTGATTTTCTATCCACTCCAGTTGGATTGTGTTGCAGCTGCTGCTTGCCTTTGAGCTGGCTCTGACTCGTGAGGTTATGTATAATACAGTGAAAAGATGCCACTCCTTTGATGTCTTCATGATCGTTGCTAAGAGCCCTTGAGTCGAGTGCCCATAGTGACCCTATGAACAACAGAAGATCTGAACCCTGTTCTATCCTGTGCCATGTGTACCATCTCTGATGCACTTGAGCTCGTTGGAGCAGATGTTGTTGTTATGTGCCGTCGAGTCGTTTGCGACTCATAGCAACCCTATGCACAACAGCCCTAAACCCTGCTCTATCCTGTGCCAATCGCACTGCCTC